TAGAGACCTGCCTCCAGCTTGCCGTTGGCAGTCTCTCACTTTCACAGGCACACTGACACAAAGGTGGCAGAGGCGGCAGCAGGAGTCACACACAGTCCTATGCGGGCCTCACTAGAGGTGCGTCCTGTGTCGTGTCCTCGTCCTAGATGTCTTGCGGGGGAAGGGGAATGGGCTGTGTGTCTGTGCACGCACGCATGTGTGTGGGTGTGCAGTGTGTGTGCGTGTGTGTGTGTGTGTGTGTGTGAGTGTGTGTGTGTGTGTGTGTGTGTGTGTGTGTGTGAGTGTGTGTGTGTGTGTGTGTGCGTGTGCGTGTGCTGTGCGACCCGCCCTGAACAACCACAATGGCGAGCGCGCCCGAGCACCGAAGCGCCGCGAGCGCCGGCGAGCACCGCCGCCCCGCGCCTTGGCGTGGAGCGGTAAGTAAATGACGCAGCGCCCAGCATGCTCTATCATGCGTCGCACCCGCAGTGGCCGAGCCGACCGCCGCTCGAACTGGCGCCGAGTGGCTCCCAGATCGAGCGCGGCAGGCTCAGTCGCACCCTCGCGGAGCGAACGCGAACCGAGCCGTCGCCGTTCGCCGCAGCCGTCAGCCGTCAGCCGGCAGCAGCCGGCCGCCGGCAGCCGGCAGCCGGCGGCCGGGAGCCGGCAGCCGGCAGTCGCCGTCGCTGCCGCCGCCGCAGCAGCAGCGAGCGAGCTCCTGCGTCGCGTTTGCCGACGCAGTGTGGACGCGCGCCGCCCAGGCGGCGAGCGAGCGTGCTCGGAGCTGGGTCGGCGCGCGCGCGGGAGGCAGCGAGAGTGGGTATCGAGCGCCGAACCGTCAATCGGGCTGCGAGGGGCAGGGGGGCAAGGGCGGGGGGGAGGGCGGAACCGGGCGGGAGGGCGGGCTGGGGCGCGGGCGGGGGGACGGGCAGGGGGACGGGCGGGCAACAACAACAGCAGCGGCAGCAGGATCAGGAGCAGGCGCGGCAGCAGCAGCAGCAGCAGCAGCCGCCGCAGCAGCAGCAGCAGCCGCCCCTCGAAGAACGGCCAGGGTCCAGCGGCGCCTCGGGCTACCACTTGACGAGGCGCTCGCGCGGGGCGCGCCGACCTGCTCGGCGCGCGGCGGCAAGGTGCAGGACCCACTGGGCGACGCGGCCAGCAACATCGGCCGCCTCGGGCACTGCGGCCGCCATAACAGCCTCCTCGCCGCCCTGGCCAAGGTCATGCGGAGCGTGTGGGGCATGCTCGTCGAGGTGGAGTCGCGGGACCACCTCGGCTACTCTAACGACTACCGGCCCGACGTCTCGGTGGCGGGCGCCGGCCGCTCGCGCTCACGCCTCATCGGCGACGTCAAGTTCAAGGACCCTCTCTCCTCCAACCCGGAGGACGTCGGCCAGCGAGGCGCTTTCGTCGGCCTCGGCAACACCGAGCCCGGCACGAGCGCGGACGTCTTCGGCCTCGAGCAGCGCGGCGCTGTCGGGGACGGCGACTTCAGGCCGAGCGACGGCGGCGGCTATGTGGCGTACAAGAAGGCGGACTACGCGCACGCCCTCTCGCGCTCGGACACCGACGTGCAGATGTACCTGTTCGAAACCTTCGGCGGGTGGTGCAACGCGGTCAAGCGGCTGTTCTACCAGATGAAGGACAAGGTGCGCAACAAG